TCACAGTCTGCATAAGTGGGCTGGATTTATGCAAGATTACAAAGATTATAAAGTAGATAAAATAAAGTTTATTCAAGCAGCCTTCGCCTTACAGTGAGATAAAGAAATTGTTTGAGCTGTTTGCTGTAAATATACAAATTCAAGTAATATGACTGCCTTTGTTCTCAGACTCCTCAAATACGAAGTAAATTAGTTTTTTTTATAAGTAAAGGATAGAGTAAAAATGTATAAGGTGTTTACCTCTTTATTATATTTTAATTCTTAGACATAATGTGGCATTTAGAAGATAAAAGGGGAGACTCATATCCACACTTACTGCCATGGTCCTAAGCTGGTCTACCCTGACAGGACCTCAAACAGGCATGTTTACTGCCTCTGATAATTCATAATTTTTGGGGGACAATAATGCACATATAAACATTTATTTTTATAGATTTTTACTGCGCGATTAAAGGGACAACAAATGTTACATGAAGTATGACATTATACCTCGTAGTCCATATTTTTTTGTATTTTTTGTAATGCAACTTGTTCATTCGTAAATATATATATGTACAGATATAACTTTATAGGCATTGGCAGATAACAGTTTGTAATTAACTTGTTTTAAGTGTGAGATGTTTTCACAAATTTCTTCATAAATCAGAAGAAGCAGCGGTAAGCCTTTTGTATTGTTTTAGTTAATTGTCAAATGTCAGTACATAACCATATTTACCACGGTTCTCTGAGGCATCGTACTGGCGAAGCTGGAAGTTAGAGGCGTCCGGCCTGGTGCCTGTTGCCGAGAAGATGACACCGCTGTGCCGGGGGCCGCTGGGCTGCGGAAGGTGGCAGATGATGGAGAGCGAGATGGAGGAGGACCACGTGAAGTTGACACTTCCTCAGTTTCAAAGCCGATGCCCTCACCTGCACGGAATCGGTGAGTGCGTCGAGTGCCGTCATCGTCTACCACTGTGTAAGTGCCACGGACATTGCCGTCGGCGTCTGCGCTCTCTGAGCGTGAATATTGCTCCGAGTCAAAGGCGAAGTTATAGGAGGCATCAGCGTTGGAGTCAGCGAGAGGGTCGACGAAGGGGACCTCTTGAACAGGGACGATTCTACCTGTTGGTTGACCGGAGGGTGCTCCTGGAACCGCGGGTCCTACAGGAATGTGATCACCCTCAGCAATAAATCCTGTACGGGACCCAGCTTCATATTCAATAGCTTGTCGCTGTCCATCATCAGCAACAAAGTCGAAGTTTCCCACCACGTTGTTGTCTCTGTCACCTGATTCTGCTCGTGAGTGACTGGACGTTTCGTAAGCAAATGAATAACTTCCGTCAGGTGACTGTTGGCTGCGAGTATTGGCAGGTTCGAACTGACCTGTGTATGGGCGTGCTGAGGGACGTGAGGACGGGGAGCTGTACTGAGTTTGTGAGCTTGTGAAGCCGGGAAGACGTGGAGCAGATGGTGAGCGAGAGAAAGTTGGGGTGCTAGAGACGGAAGAAGGTAGGGACGCTGATGGACTGCGGTAAGGGGTTTGTGATGATGAAAATGCAGATGATGTAGTTTGAGACTCGGAGTGTGACTGTGGTGCTCGTGGAAGGTGATCGCCTCGAGCCAGGAATCCCGTGTCACTTCCAGCTTCGTAAGTGACACTGCGTCTGACACCGTCGTCAGCCACGAAAGAAAATTTTCCATCAACATTGAGGTTAGCGTCAGCAGACTCAGAACGTGAGTGATCACCAGCGTCGAAGGAAAAAGAATAAGAAGGATCTGAGCTTCCAGTACTTCTTTGGAAAGACACGGGCCCTGCTGGGGTACCTGAAGGTGTGCTGAAGGGACGAGATGGAGCTCCTGAAGCTGTAGATGCTCTGAAGGAGGCAGAGGATGCTGGAGAAGTAGGTCGCAAACTAGAAGAAGGGAACGCTGCAGGAAAAGAGGAGAGTCTGGTCGCTGCTGGAGTGGACGCAGGATCTTCTGGTGCCTGCGGTAGATCGTCACCCTCGACAACAAAACCAGTGCCACGACCGGCTGTGTAAGTGTAGGTTCGTGTGCGACCTTCTTCGTCAGTGTAAGTGTAAGAGCCACGCACATTACCGTCTGAATCACTTTGTTCGCTACGTGTCTGACCTTCTTCAGCGAACTGGAAGCCATATGAGGCATCGGCGTTTGGATCAGCAAGGGGGTCGGTGAATGAAGGGCGAGCACGAGCCTCAGCGTGGGCACGAGCAAAGTCAGGATGCGGGACAGGGAGATGGGCACCCTTGGGCTGGAATCCACCCTCATCAGCTACATACTGGAGGTGAATATTGTTGCCTTCAGGGTCCCTGTAGCCGAAGTTTCCATCTACCTGACCAACCCTGGATGAACGAGCACCCTCGAAGGCTCCCTCACCGGTGTCATAGCCGTACTTGAAGGTTCCATCAGCGTGTTGAACATAGTACTGGGAACGTCGTCCAGTGCCCACATGCGGAATTTTGTAAGCACTTTCGTCGGGCCGAGGCGAACTAAGCGTGCTAACCGCTAGTGCGGACAACAGCGCCTGCAACGGAGATTGATATTAATCATATTCTGTTCATAAAAGATAATGCATATATAAAGTGAGAGGAGACTAAATAATGAATATTGCATTTTATATCTGTTCTGATCACGGTGAGCCATATCTATTCCTGGAAGTTTCATTTTGTTTAATCTGTCGGTGAACTTATTGAAATTCTAGAACCTCGATAGGCATTTATCTCGTTAAAGCTTTGTTTTTGAACTTATTTTAATAAGAATCTGCATCAGGATTATATATGAGAAAAGTCTTATCTGCGCCTGTTATTAAAGCAATGAAACGAATAAGAGCAAAAACAATTATTGTTGATGACATTTATCAGCATTCAGATGCAGACACTGATTGACGTACAAATACCAACACTGAATATGTTCTAATTAATTATAAATTCAGAAAACAATATTTGCTCCAATAGACGAAGTAACTGTTATACAGATTAAAATCTTGTAGCTATACAGATTACTGTCAAGCTGAATATTACAAAATGTTCCGCATCTATAAGAACGAAGACAACAAATATATAAAGGGTTAAAGATCAAGAAATAAATTTAAACCAACCAAACCTTCGGACAACCTAATGTCTAATTGGAAATCATCAAGGTGAACGACGAAAACATAGAGATGAAACATCGAGATAAAAACTAAAGAGCCCGTGTATAACTACTAGAGAGAAGTTTTGTGATTTATCAAATAGTTCACAACTTGAAGCCTCGGTAAAGAGGTGTATTAAAGCGTAAATGTAGATAGTAAGGGTATAGAGTCCGAAAAATATTTAGGCATCAGGAAGAGGTAATATAACAGTAAGGAGAACTCGTTAGAAAACTGTGCTTGCTAGTGAAACTAACCACAAACAAATATTATTATGAACATGGAAATATTAAATTATCGTATAGCAGCATTAAAGTACGTGCAACCCCAAACAAAATATTCATAAAAGTTATACTCAAGAGATTAAATAAATGTATTCAGGAAGTTAGAAAATCACGTTGTTTAATGGTGTGACATCTAGCAAAGAGTGAAGATCCCGAGGAATGCACTGGTTGTGGGATTGGCAGGGCATCCAGCCAGGGTGGAGGGGAGGGAGAAAATGAAGGAATACGTTTAGAAGACATTAACTTAAACATAAACGTAAGAAGACGTGGCCGTTAACCTATGTGCTGGATGGAGTTGTCTTACCAACAACAAGAGTGAGACACCCAAAGGCTTGACGAGAATGACGGGGGTCTTTCAGGGTCACATAACCTAGACGAGCGAGTAAGTGTTTATATTTATTTAAATTAAAGGTTTAAGATCTCTTTTATCGCCATCTGCTAGTAATTGCAAGAATCAGCGCAACAGTCAGTCAGGGTTGTGGTGGACATACCAAGCTAGTCCAGGGCGCCATGGTGTGGTGGGCGTGAGGGTGAAGACGGTGTGGTGGCCGGAGGTGGTGTGGTGGATGTGTGTGCTGTTCACCTCTTATATACCAGATTCTCAGGCATGATGGCGGTCGTCCTTGCTCTTCTTGCCCGTTATCTTGTGTCGCGCCACTGACTGATCCGGATTTCACCCCGTCTTTCAGCGCCAGCAATGACCCGTGCTAATCCTTCTCTTGTTGGGAGGCTTTCATGATATTTTATTTTTTCACTTTGCGGAGCTAGGTCAATGAACGCCTTACCTGATATTTAGCAATTGGAGAAAATTTCTCTAGCTACCTCGCCCCACCTACGTTATGTGTTCTTCACTGCAGCCTTTAAGTCAAACACTCACTAACACAGCCTAAAGATTCTTGATTCTAGGTCATCTTTGAATAGTACAATATATGTCTTGAGTGATTATGAATTGGTCATCAGCTGTGTAAAAGCGAAGTGAAGAAATCTTTCAGGGAGTGAGTGAGTGAATCAGTCAATTAATAGTGGGATTTAGAAAGGCATTTCCTGTAGCTGAAAATATTTAGGGTTTTTCAAAGTAATTATAATACTTTTGTCGTACACATTTAATGCTTTTAAGGAAACGCTGTTAATTTGCATGTGGTTAACGTGAACATCATTTTACTATTTCATCGTAGAAAATAACATATCCTCTATTCTGTACACTCAAATCTTGATTTTCGCATTCCTAATGAATTAATCAAATCAGCAGAGGATATTTATCGACTAAAACTTCGTATTAATTATCATAAGCTGGTGAAGTCATAATATATTGACTACATTCGCCGAAACAGGAGTTAGAAAAGTCTATCGTCTCCTTCTCTTCCCCCAAAAGTAAAATTTCACAATAGTTTGAAAAAACAAACAAACAAAGTTTGTGTTATCATTTAACATAAATCTTGTGTCTGTAGTCCATGTATCATTAATTCCTGAAGCTTTCTTCCAATATGAACATAAGTAAAGAGATGAAGCATTAGCCGGCTATTGTAGAATAGCGCGTGTCTTATCTCAGGCTTCGCCATCAAGTGAGCGTAGGTAAAAAACTTCAAGATGTGGTATAGGTTTCTTAAAACTTCAGTATTTTACCCAGGCGACTAAGTATCTTCCTAGTTTATCATTTATTCGAATTTATTTGAAATGCCACACAAAATGAGCAATATGCATTGTGTATAGGTATAGTTGCGTGATTAAGACTTCAATGTACTTCACGTTTTTGTTAAATAGTAATAACTTTTCGGTTTTAGTGTTATAATCTAATGGTAAATATGCTTTGTTTCATATAAGAAGCACTGACTATTATAAAATACCAATAATATATATGAATTTGATTATGTTAGGATAGGTTAGGTTAGTATAGTGTAAAGGCCTGGGACTTAGGGATGGAAATCCCTTACCAGACTAATGAGGATCTTAATAAAGGAAAGTCAAGGACCATGGTTGTCCGAGGAATAACAAACAACCGTTTGTGATCTCTTTACTATAAAAATATAACACAAGACTCTGACACAACTCAATAAACATCAAGTAACAATTACGGGAGTCAAAGAATTAATGCAGTAAACAGTTAATGGAGTCAAACAATTAAGGGAAGCAAACAATTAAAGGAAGCAAACAATTAATGGGAGTCAGCAATTAAAGGAATCAAACAATAGAATCAAACAATGAACAGATATTTCTTTCGGCAGTGGCCCTGGGGAAGGTTCTGGAACACAGTGATCCGCTCTTGGGGGGGGGGAGGAAGCGTCCGTTCAACTCCTCACTCGAGCGACAGCAGCCGATGTCTTGATACAGCAGACGAAACACCGGGGCACAGACGGTGGAGAGGACCTGGCGGTCGTGGCGGCAGCTGTAGTGGTTGATGTCTAGAGAATTGACAGTTGATAGGTGAAGGTCTGGGAAAACGGCCCACGAGTCCAGGACCTATGATGAGATCACAGCCAGAATTTGACGAGCAGTGGGGTAGCTAGGGCTTCGACAGGGAGTTTGAGGAGGACATTTTAGGTCAGTTGCAGGACCATCAGCACCTGCTCCAGCCGCTCCCACGGACTGACTTCACTAGACTGGTGGACGGAAGCTACCTGACGGAGCGCATAGTTCCTGCAGATGTGTCAGCCGTCATAAAAGGGTTTAAAAACAAATCACCTGGTCAAAGTCACATTAACAAGAAGATCCTGGCTCAACTCCCCGACAACATGATAGAGAGGCTTGCTCATATATGCAACGCCTGCCTCGCCTCTGGATACTTCCCTAAGATGTTCAAAATCGCCGTTATTCGCCTCATACCAAAAGCAGGGAAGCCTCCAAACAAAGTCGAAAACTTTCGACCAATATCGCTGCTAGAGGTACCTACCAAAATCTTCGAAAAAATAGTCAACAAGCGGTTGCGGATGTATCTGGAGGACGAAGACGTGCATAATCCCCGCCAGTTCGGCTTCCGCCAGTACAAAGGCACATCCACCGCCATAGCTCAGGCCTACGAGCAGATCGCCAATGCCATGACTGGCCGCCTGCAGTGCAATATAGTACTGAGGGATGTCAGCAAAGCGTTTGACAAAGTTTGGCACGCAGGGCTGCAGTATAAGATCATATAACTGGGGCTACCCGAAAATCTGACGCGCCTGCTGTGTAACTTCATTATGGACCGCAGAGCCAAAATCAAGATGCAAGAACATTTTGGAGAAGAATTCTCACTATCGAGCGGCGTGCCTCAGGGCTCTTGTCTCTCACCAACCCTTTACACACTCTACACGGCTGACCTGCCACCCCCAATCGTCGGCAGCGAGTACGTCATGTATGCCGACGATGTAACACAGATCGTTACCTGCCCAGGAAGGTCCACAGCAAGGATGGCGAGACTCACTGCAATAGAGGAGATCTCGGAGTATGAAAATAAATGGAAAATAAAAACAAACAAAACGAAATTTGAGTTCATACCCATAGCCAAATTCAAGCCGGCCCCATTGATGATCACCGACGAAGAGAATGAGTTCTCCAAACAAGGCAGGTTGCTCGGCCTCATCATTTCTCGGACGGGCATCATTCCCCACGTGAAGGACAGACTAAATAAAGCCAAAGTCGCCGCAGCCAAATTAAAACGTTTTAAATGATGCCTGAGAAGATACAAGTTCACCTGTACAAGGCACTGGTGAGGCCTGTATTGGAGTACCCATCTATACCACTCGTCACACTCGGGAAGACTAGACTACAACAACTACAGAGCTTCCAAAACAAGTGTTTGAGGTCAGCCAGTGGCCAAGCGCCACCCTACCAGGAGACAGTGGAAACCATCCACCTAAGAAACAAAACAGAGGCCCTCAACTTCAGGTTCCATCGCCTAGGGAAGAAGGTTTGGGACAAGCTCCTGGACGACCCTCACAGCCCAGACCACCTACGCGGGGAAGACATCAACGGAGGGAGACCCCACGCCTGGTGGCCCCGGAGTCTGCCCGCACTACAACAACCCAACCCGCGATCCATCTATGTCCGCCACAGTGATCCACCTTAGATTAAAACTTAGATGATATAAATTCACATTTAACAAGTCACAATCAAGTGAGTCCATAACGTAATACAGTATAAGATGTTAATAAACTTGTTATTGTAAAATCAATCTAGTCATTGTCTACTAAAATAACCATTGTGCAACCTCATTCTAAATCCTAGGTTAGCTTAGTTAGCTAACAAACTCTGTAATATGTAAAACAAGGGGTGTCGTCCCCCTCTGTTTAACTCATTAAACTTCTTTTCCAACCTTTCCCCCCACGACTATATGTTGTGACTTCTCTATCCCTCATGTCTGGCTGTGCCTTGAGCCCCAGCATGCCTTCCATCCTTTCCTCACCTTAACCTAAAAAAAAAAAAAAAAAAAAAAAGGTAGCCAAGCCGCTGTTCTCACCTCTGTCCAACCCCTAAGTGTGTTGGTCGCACCAGCCTTCGAGAGAGCAAGCAGCGGTAACGAGCAGGAAGATCGTTTCCGCCCTTACAGATAGGTTAGGTTACGTTGTGTACTGTTATACATGTCCTCACTGTAACACTAGATATATTGGCTGCACTATAAAGTTGTCACAACACAAGATTTGTGACCGTAAAGGTGTTTCATTACGAACACAACATCCACCTAGTAGCCATGCCTTCACCATTCAGGATTTAAAAGTACTATCATCTATGTCTTCCAGGACGGGCCTTGTAATCCTGCAGTCCCTTTATACTTCTAATGGTAAACCCATCCTAAACAACAGTTCTCCCTTTGCCATGCGTAAGTGGGCCTTTGTGGTTTGATCTATGGTTAAACAGTCGTTAGTACAATTTTCTTGATATTTTTGGTAATTATGTTATTATTTTCTTGTCTAATTATCCTCATTAAAGTGTTAGTGTTATAATAGTGTGTATTAAATCCTAATAATATTTGTTGTTTATTTTATCAGCCTTAATTGGTCTTATATGAGTTAATTTCTTTAGCACTGACGTTGGACAGAAAATTCTTCGAAATATCTGGTTGAAAGAAGAAAGGTGTAAGTTTTCGTATTGGTGATAATTTTCCTTATAAATATATATCATTATCCTTATCATCAACATCAATATCTCCATCATCAACATTATTATCCTCATCATCACCATTATTATCCACCATCATTATCCTCATCAATTTCATTATCCTCCTTTTCATCATCATCATCATCTTCTGCATCATCATCATCACCATCTCCTTCATTATCCTCATTACAATCATTATCCTCATCCTTTTAATCATTATCTTCATCCTCATCACCTATATCCTCATCGTCACCATCATCGTACCCATCATCACTATCATTATCTTCCTTTTCATCGTCAACATCATCATCATTATCATCATCATCATCATAGCCACCCTAATTAGCTTCATCATCATCATTATCCTCGTCATCAACATCATTGTCGTCATCATCTCCATCTTTATTCTCATCATCACTATCATTATCGTCATAATTAACATCATAATTTTCATCCACACCATCATTATCCTCATCATCACCATCATTATTGTCTCTCTCTGCTCTTCATCACCATC